GTGACGTTACTTGGTTTGGAATCTTTTGTTAATAACATTTTTTAATCTTCAGCTTTTATTAATATTTAAATGTTTTATTTTTTTGGTTGTTGTGTATGTTATTTCTTTCTTATTTCAGTTTTTTTTTGTTTAATAATAAAATTGGTATTTTCGGTTAATCTTTTTATTTTTTTTCAGGGATTTCAAATCAATTTATATAATTTTAGACAATGGAAGTCCGAACTGATAAAATATACCACGAAACATTGTCGACCACCTTCAAACAATAAAGTCGTTGTTCGAACAATTAATGACCATTTCTCATTAATGGAGTACTACTCTTTTTCGTGGCTTACATCAGAAGCATTTCGAAATAAAATTCATTCGTGAGGGATATTCTGGAGAGTTGAAATATTAAATGAATGTATAATAAGAAGCAGCCGAAAAATCATTGAATAATATGTGTTTTTTTCCTTGAAAATCATAATTTCCATCAATAAGTATATTACGAAAAGAGCATTTTAGATTTACTCATTTGTTAATAACAATTTTTCAAACAATAACAGTAAAAAATAAAAATTTGTAAGTATCTTCCAACCGATAAATATCGAAACAATCAAGATTTATGGAATAACAAGTTTTATTTNATTTCGAACGTAGTTCTAAGGTGCGAATTATGGATCATTTCAACTACCCACCTAACAAAAAATGGTCACACTATTGTCAGTAGTCATAGAAAAATTCATTTTATCGAACTATCAAAATACTTTCTATAATTCAGGAAGTCTCATCCACTTCAGAATTCTAACAATTTTTTTATTGCAGTTTTCCAATTATAGATCGGTACAGTCTTTTTTGAAATCCTCTGAATAAGGCTATCATTTGACAAAATTGAACAAATCAATAATAATGCATGCAAAAGTAAGAAATCAGTCTGATATGGCAACTACGCTGGAGATTTTTATTTGAACTATCGATGAACCTTGAACTGAATATCGATAAAAAATATAAAAGTGAGCCATCCAGATCATTATAATCTGATTTATTTTGATATTATGATATTTCTATGATGTTCTCTCAACTTCAAGACATGAATTCTGGTTCACCAAAGAAAAATTTCATAGACGAAAAAATAAATTTAAAAAATCTTTATGAAACTAATTGTGAATTGATTTCTCAGAGTATCACTTACAATTTCCGACATAAGTTTTGTCAAATCCATACCTCACAAGTTCTTGGGCAAGGCCACATTTCGTGAAAATTTTTGCCTGGATCTCATCTAACCCGGTTATTCCCAGCAGAAACACGCAAAACAAGAACACCGCCATTGCATAACTGAATCATGTAAAACTTAATTAGCTCAAGTTGTTAAAAACTCATCTGCATTCTAGTCTTCCTTGTTTATATTACAAGAGCTAGATTGTGGTTGATTACCGCACTGTTAAATGAGGCAAATGTGGTTTAGAAGATGATATAATTGTTGATATGCAGATGTAAAATGAAACTAGCGCCAGTATTCTATTTGGATGTTTACTTGTATATTAGTACAGGAAAATTAGGTTAAATTTAATGTTCTTACAAAAATCGATGACTTCACGTACAAGAAGTCTCCTGAATTTTTTGGTTCACAGATTGATCGTATTTCAACTGGAATATCTTTTTTATATCATTGCACCTGATGCAAAATTCACCAAATTGCGGTCTATCCAAAGTAACAGTTGTTTTTTCCAATTTTTTGGGGGAGTTCAGTTCAAAAGTTCAATTTATTTGAAAATTCTTTATTGAATAGAGAGCCCAAGAGCGGGTTTTCAGGATTAACTTGAGCACGACAGATGAACATAGGAGGGGATACCATACATCCTGTTGAAGCCGTCTTCATATATGAAGCCTCAATTGGGAGAAGGGCAAGTATGGCAGCCCGTCAGATTTATAAAACAATCGTTCATAAGAAATATTTGAATACGTCAGATTAAGGTATGGTGGCTTGATTTCAAGGTAAAAAGAGTATATTCATCAAAATCTGATGATTTGAGCGTGACATAGGGGAGTAGATGAGTCATGAACTTTGTAACGTAGGGAAGTAGAGGGGTCACATTTACTCCCCACGCTCAAATCGTCAGATTTTGATAAAAGTACTCTTCTTACTTCGAAATAAAGTAGTGGCTGACGCATTCGAATATTTCTGATGAGC